CAAAGCTGAAAGTTAAATGAGTGCAAAAGAGGACAGCATGAATTCATAGAGAACTGCGGCATCCACAGCTGTTGATTATGCAGATCCAGAAGCAATCGCTTGATCACAAATTGCCTATGCTCCTGATGACTACAAGAGAAGGATCATGCCCTTTCTCTAACTGTCCATCTAAATCCTCGCCCACCGTGCAGCTGGAGGCAAGCGCCAATGCACTGGCTGGCTGATCTGACCTAGCGTGGCTCTTATTACATTCTAGGAAAACAACATGCTAATGAAGCTTTAAGCCAATAATAAGTTTGGTTATGTTAAAAAACACTGATGAAAGCAGAAACAAACAATATGTGACATTAGCTCTTAGAAACAGTGCAGGAAGTAAACAAAGACTTAGTTTGGAAAATGCAACTAATACATCTGGGATGGATCATCCATCCCCCCCCCAGATGTTCAAAGATGGAGAGACCTTGAGGCAGTGGGAGAGAGAGGGCGAGCAGGAACGCGCTGTGCCACAGCGGTGAGAGTGAGAGGAATGCGAATGTGAGCTCCGTCCCCCCCATTGCTCCGTGGCTGAGGGTCACAGGCAGCAAGAAACCAATCCCTCTGGAGCCGGCCGTGGAAAGACTCCACCTGGTGCGCTTGTTTTTAATTCCAGCCATACTGTTACCAGAAGGAGACTGGAAAATTTGAGGAAAGTTCAAGCTACAAGCCATAGGAATGAGCAAACTAGGAAGAGTGTGCGCTGAAAGAAAAATGATGAGCCGTGACAAGTATGTTTGCTTTGGCGGAGCTACAGCTGTGGCTGCACGCAGAGGCACGCAGCCGCATGGCCCCCAAGAGAGGGGGACAGGCCCCCCATCCTTCAGCTGCTTTGGGGGGCTAACAGTGCCAGCGTGAAGCCAGTGGTGCTGCCTGGGGGAGGCAGAGGGAAAACGAGGACAGAGGACTGCAGCCATCCAGTGCGCGGCAGGGGAGAACAAGCTGCTTTGGGGAGATCAGGCTGAAGCTAAAGCAAGGAAAGATGGGGTTTGGGCAGTAGCAGCCTTCCCGGGAGCGAGGCCACCCATGTGAGGTGCCTGGAGCCTCGGAAGGACCACAATGCCTTTCCTTGCCAGGAGGGGATGCTGCCCATCCACCAGGAACTTCAGATCCGACCCAGGAGAACAGCAGGGAACTGGCAAGAGAGGAAATCCCATCTCCGGACTTTTCCATGTTTAGTGCCAGAAGCTCCATTCCACTATTGGCGAGTTCCCATCTTCTGGAAAACAGCGCAAAACTTTTCTGCATCAGTTTAGAAGCCTTTATTGTGATAAGGATACAGGGATTTGTGCGTGCATCAAAACAAAGATCCACTTCATTAGGGCTGAGCCGCAAAAAGAAAGCGCGTGGCCTGGGTGACAGGGACTGTTGTCCTCAGTGTGTTCCTCCCAGCCCCTCCTGAACAGGCTGCTGAGCCCCGCGATGCAGCCGGCATCCCCGCAGAGCCTGCGCATCCCTCCGGCACAGAGCATGGGAAGAACTGGGATGACGAGGAGGGGGCACGCATCCAGCTGAGGGCTGCTCTTGGAGAAGCTGGGGAGCCCTGGCCAGCACCAACATTGCAAATCAGCCTCTCACCACAGAGGTGATGGCCCCACTTCCCAGAGCTTTCTTCCAAGTGGAGGCTCCACTGCGCTTTGCTGTAGGGTCAGAGAAATCAGCTGTAGCCCATGCACAGGGGAGAGCTGGCTGTGTCGTGGAGGAGTGAAGGGTACTTAGAGCCTGTGGTGGGGACTGATGGTTTTCTACAAGAAGTGAGTGTGCTGCAGGTACCCAGGCTTTCTCTTCTGACCCCTGAAAATCTCAGCCTCACTGATAGTATTGCCTCAGACCTGACACTTGGGTGAATATGAGAGAGCTTGTGGAAGTCATCAGTCCCAGAGAGACCGGACTGCTCCCGCACCCTGCAAAGCTATCAAATTCCCCTGCAAGGAACCTTCCCAAAAATGGACCACTCAGCATTTGAACCCAAACCAGAGACACTCATCCCACCTTGCTGCAGCACATCTCAGGGCTTCCTGTGGCAAAATGGGAGCGACCAAGGTCTGGAGTCTCAGCAGCCCAGCAGAGCTGATCGGTGAATAAATATTTGCAAGACAAGAACATGTGGTGTTAAAAGATGCTTTAACCCAGAAGAGCAAAACTGTACAGGAGCCAGTGGCTGGAAATTAAAGCCAGAAGCTATTGAATTAAAAATAAGGCACAGATAATTATCAGTGAGGCAGATCAACTGCATTAACAAGAGAAGTGATACCATATTATTACTGGCATATTTGGAAATTCCCCCCGCTATGATTCATGGTCTTCACATACGCATTGAGTGGCTCTGGAACACACATTTGAGCTGAATACAGCTGGGTCAGATGCAGCACAGAAGCAAAGTGAATGTACATTAAACTTGAACTCTTTGACCAAGGATTTTGAGTAGCCTCCATGAGTGAAGTCCTGCAAAAGCAGGAGAAATGGGGAGAAAAAATCATGCTTTTCTGGGAAGGTTCAAGTGCAGCCACTGATATGCAGAAGTCTCACCCTGATAGGATGCCTTCAGTCGACCAGTTCCTGGAGCCTCAGCCTGCTCAAGTGATTTTTAAATGGCACATCTGCTGTCATCTCAGAAATTCTAGTTCTGGAGAGATGGACTCGTAAATGTGGTTTAAACATCATCAGGTTTTAAAACAATGTAACATAATTCGTATTTATCTTAGTTTGGGGCCTTTAGGTTGCGCTCAAGTCACATTTACAGCTTTAAAAAAAAACAAAACCCAAACCAAAAAACCGAGAGAAGGCAGGCAGGAGGGAGTGAGCAAAGACACCAGCTGATCACCTGACTCCAGAATCAAGAGCTAATAAAATTAGTACTATGGGACTTGCAATAAAGATACAAAACATTGCTAAAGCTCTTCTCCCAAGTTCTGTATTTGACCTTTTCCTTTGGCATAAACCCTTAGCAGGGATCAGAAAAGCAGACTGGCACAGGCTTTCTCTCCACACCAGCTTCCACATGGAGTTTCTGCATCAATTTCTGAACTGTCCCAATGGATCTGCTGGTTTCAGCATCATGGACACAACTAAGCAGTTGCAAGATCCCCGAGGGGGTCCCAGGAGAGGAATTACCATTCCGCAGGTTTCCACGCTGTTCATGGGGAGGAAGGAGGCACCAGCGCACGCGGGGAGCTTCTCCAGGGCACCTGCTCTGCTACAAAGACTCTGTATGCAAGGAAGGTGGCACAGGATAGAGTGTGTTGCAAGTGGGGCTGACTGGGGAGCTGAAGTGGCTCTGATCGCACGCTCCTCCTTCATGCCTTGCAGCCATGACCAAAACCTACTGTTAATCTCTCACATACCTATCTTTGCTGAAAACAACGGAAGGAAGACTCCATCTCTAGATGAATTCCAAAATCTCAATGTATTTGCAGATAAAACAAAAACTGGTCAATGGACAAACAGTGTGGGGAAGCGTCATTTGCCGGTTCATCTGGATCACTTGCTTGGGGGAATATTCTTTGAATAGTACGTGTTTCAGTGGAGCCACATGGAAGGCAAAGCTGCTCATGTTAAGAGATGGTAATGTACAGTGTGAGACAGTGGCCGTTCTGGAATGCAATGACTGGAAGAAAAGGCCAAGTTGCAATAGTCCAACTGGACAAAACAGCCCCAAAACTTTCTCTTAAGTGAGAAGACCTGGCCCTGAGATATACAAATGGGGAACATAGAGTATAGATCAAAACCAGAGGGTAGTACTTTTATATACACTATTAGCTACTTCACTACCACTTGCTGCTGGAAACTTTGGTGTCCAAATTTCAGAAAGATGTAAAAATTTTCAAAGAAATGGATTCAAGAGCTACAAGTGAGGTCAGCACAGAGCACTTTACAGATTGAAGATCAATCTATTTAATATGATACAATAATGACTTGCAAGCACCAACACGGAAAAAGGGATTTTGATAGCAGAGAGTTACTCAGTCTTTCTGAAATGGGCAGAACAAGACCCAACAGAAGCTGAAGCCAGCTAATTCAGAGCAAAAATAAGACACAGATTTTTGGAAGAACAGTGAACTGCCCAGAGATCTTACCACAAGACAGGGTACATTTTTCCCTTACCTTCAGGTTCTTCAATATGTTACGGCTCCTACTTGCAGGCACGAAGTAGAAATAAGTGGGGGACATTTTCCAGCCTGCACTGTGCAGAGGGACAGGCTGGGAGAGCATGAAAACCCCGAGCTCTGTGTCTGTGCTTGCCTAAAGGAGAAGGCTTTATTGGGGTTGCACATCCTGATCCCCTCCGCGCCTTCTACAGCTTTGCTTGGGAAAACAGGCAAAGGTGTGTGTTTGCCATGCCCTTCTCTCCACAATATCTGCTTTCGTTTGGCCTCCAGCACTTACAGGTCATTAGGAGAAGAGATTTCCGAGATTTTGTGCGAGGTGGACAGGCACCAGTGGTTCCAAGTGTTTTTATAAAAATGGATTTCTGACTTACCTCTCTTTTTTTTTTGGGCCAAGGAATGCAAAATGAAAGAAAGTGATTCATAAACCTGATCAGTGGCATTGCCCTAGTTGTGTGCTAGAAGATGGGCTGCGGTATGTGCACTCACAAGCCCTGGGTCTTATGGTCGTGGGATAAGCCTAAGCCATGAGGGAAGGAAAGGCAAATTTTCACTGATTTTGCTGGTGGA